GATGGGGAGGGGGTTTTGGGGCTGGGGGATCCCTGGCACTCACCGGAAGTGGAAGGTGCCCTCTCGTTGCCCGAAGCCGCTGCCGGGCACGACGCAGATGCCCGTCTCCTCCAGCAGCCTCATGCAGAAGAACATGTCAGGGGCCTGGTTCTGAGCCTGCCCAGGGAATGGGCATGGATTTGGGATCAGCACCACGCGGGGGGGGAGCAGGAGCAGCCCCTTGTGGGGTTGAGGGGCTCCGGTGCTCATCCCACTGGCCACGTGGGGATCCTGGCTGTGATCCCATTCTTGGAGCAGGATTGATCCTGGACACTCCCACAGGGATCAGGATTGATCCTGGACACTCCCACAGGGACCAGGATTGATCCACCCACTCCCACAGGGATCAGGATTGATCCCACCCACTCCCACAGGGATCAGGATTGATCCTGGACACTCCCACAGGGATCAGGATTGATCCACCCACTCCCACAGGGACCAGGATTGTTCCTGGACACTCCCACAGGGAGCAGGATTGGTCCTGGACACTCCCACATGGAGCAGGATTGATCCCACCCACTCCCACAGGGATCAGGATTGGTCCTGGACACTCCCACATGGATCAGGATTGATCCTGGACACTCCCACAGGGAGCAGGATTGATCCACCCACTCCCACAGGGACCAGGATTGATCCTGGACACTCCCACAGGGATCAGGATTGATCCACCCACTCCCACACGGATCAGGATTGATCCTGGACACTCCCACACGGATCAGGATTGATCCACCCACTCCCACAGGGACCAGGATTGATCCCACCCACTCCCACAGGGACCAGGATTGATCCTGCCCAGCACCACCTGGACCAGGGCTCATCCCACAGAGCCCCGCATGGATCAGGATTGATCCCATACAACTCCATGGATCCCACAACAAATCCCATCCATCCCCACAGTCCCAGTCTGGATCCCAGTCTGGATCCCATCCATTCCCACAGATCCCAGTCCATATCCCAGTCCATATCCCAGTCCATATCCCAGTCCCTATCCCAGCCCATATCCCAGTCCATATCCCGGTCCATATCCCAGTCCCTATCCCAGTCCATATCCCAGCCCATATCCCGGTCCATATCCCGGTCCATATCCCAGTCCCTATCCCGGTCCATATCCCGGTCCCTATCCCAGTCCCTATCCCAGTCCCTATCCCAGTCCATATCCCAGTCCATATCCCAGTCCATATCCCAGTCCATATCCCAGTCCATATCCCGGTCCATATCCCAGTCCATATCCCGGTCCATATCCCGGGCCGTACCTTGGCCGCCTCCAGGGCTTTGGGGGGCAGGTCGATGCGTGGGAAGGAGTACATGGCCCCCTGCACGGGGTTGCAGTGGATCCCGGGGGTCCTGTTGAAGATCTCCTGGGTCATCTGCGCCTTCTGGGCCAGGGTGCTCAGCACGGCCGTCTTCTCCTGGGGACACGGGGACAGTGATGTCCCACAGGGCCCAGACCCCCTCCCGGCCCAGTCCAGCCCAGCCCAGACCAGTTCAGCCCAGCCC